AGAGCAGAGTGGCACAGAGAAGGAGGTCTGTGGGGGCTTTAGCTCGAGTAGCCTCATGCCTGGGTGGATGAGCTTAGGGTGCCCTCTAGAACAGCTACATGCTTAGACATTCCTGGGGGAGACATAGCCATTTTTTTTGCTATGAATATGTAAAATAAATAGTTTATATAGAAATGGAATGGGAAATGGACTAAACTGGTCTAAAAATGTAATTATGTCTTGTTAGCATTGTACGGGTGAAGTCATAGTCCCAGAAATTAGAACAGAGGGAAGGTTGGCTGGGAGAATGACGGGGCCCTGTGTGTGGATAAAATACAGGGCTCGTTCCTTCCGGTGACCTTTCTGCTCCAGCCCCAGATACAGTGATTATCTGCTCACTCAGACAGTCCCAGGGATCGCTGACAGTTTCTGTACTTTCACGTTTGTCTGATTGATAACTTAGAACACTGAGCATTGAGAGCACATAGCTAAGAAACAACACTGCAGGTAGAAAGTGGCAGGAACTGAAAAGGGATAGAGCTTTTTGTATTTACCTAGGTCAGTTTCAACGTTAGTATCTTACTATTGGCAGTCTGATGTAGCTTAGTGACCTGAAGTAAACACTACTAACACAGACCCCTTAGAATTCAGTGGTTCCTAACTCTCCTAATGCTGTGACCTCACAACCATAATATTTTGTTGCTACTTCATCACTGGAATTTTGTTATTTTTATGAATTGCAATGTAAAATATCTGATATGTGGCCCCTGCACAAGAGTCATTCAACCCCCAAAAGGGTTGTGACTCACAGATTGCGAACTACTGTCTTCAGATGACCGCTAAACAGGATGGTGGTGGTGGACATCCTTGATCCCAGCACTTGGGAAGCAGAAACAGGTAGATCTGAGTTCAAGGCTAGCCTGGTCTACAGAGCCAGGGCCTTACAGAGAAACCCTTATCTTGAAAAACCTAGAAACAACAAAAGGCGTAAGTAAGTACTTTAAAGCTAAACACCACCACCTCCTGTTATTTAACAGGCCTAAGCACAACTAAAGCCTGCCTGGGTTACAGGGTAAGTTCAAGGTCAGCCTAAGCAATTTAGAGACCTGGTCTCAAAACAAACATAAAGAGGGCCAGGGATGCAGCTCCACGGTGAGGTGGTGAGGCATTGGGCCAGCAGGCAGGAGGCCCTAGGCCAACCCTGTTACTAATAGGGTGCAGCTTGATGCTTGGCTCGTACTTACAGAACTTCAACCACTTCATGCCGTGTTGATGGGGCTATACAAACACAACGGTTCCTATGGATATGTCGGCCATGACCACTAGATGCAATTCTGTGTCTTACGTGGAACAGCTCCTGAGAGTGCCACATCTCTGTTTCTTGTCTTTAATGTAGGTGACAGAGCTGTCCATGGGGGAACTCCTGATGCACTCCACAGTTTCCTGGTTGAATCCGTTCCTCTCCTTAGGAAAGGCCAGGAAGGACATTGAGCTCACAGTATTTGGTTGGTACTCCGGTTTGGAAGCCTTAGCAATAACAAAAGCTTGACTAACATTGCTGCTCTTGCCGACTCCTGCTTTTGGGGAGTTGGAAAAACGCTGCAGTGGCTGGTACCCAGCAGGGCCTGCTAGAGGAAGCACCTCATGAGACTGGAAACCCGCTGCCTAACAGTGCAGTGCCACTTTTCAAACCCTCTTCCTTCTCTCCCAGAGTTGGGAGGGCAAGCTGTAGTGTGCGCTCACTGAGACCTGGAGGCTGTGGCCTCAGCTGTCAATCAAGCGACAGAGAAGCACAAGCAGGACCTGCTTTGCTCGGCAGGCACATCTGCACAGTTCAGCTCTAACAGGAAGAGCAGGTGTTGATGCAGTGGGATTGCAGTCCTGGGTTGGAAGCGCTTTGTTCTCACGCAGTGCCCAGCTCTGGGTTAACCTGAGAAGGGTTTGCAGAAAATAACAAGACCCTTCTTTCTCTTTTACTTTTAGTTTTTAAGAGAGCTGTCATACTGGTTTATAAAGAAAACTGCAAACTGAAAAAGAAACCGGTAAGAAAAATTAAATTTAATTTAAAAATTTAATTAAAGCTGCCTTTTCGTGGCTCTCTGCTGTTATACTGAAAAGCTCACGAAGAATCTCACTGTCCAACAGTACTTAACCCACCTGACTGATTTTCTAAACTTTTATTATAAACTATTTCCAAGGTTTTAATAGTGAAAACATCGCACCCCCAAATGACCACACCTGTGTCTATTCAAAATCACACAACTCTATGTGTATTCTAACTTGTACAGTTAGAGTGGGCATCAGGAACGCAGGCTGTGGAGCTTCACAGTTAACTTTACATATTCAGGACTGACTATATTTATGAATATCTACCACCAAAAACCAAAATATCCATGACAGAATTAGAACCAGAAAAACAATTAACTTTATATCCGCTTTTATAACCTGGGTCTATTGCCTGCATTCAGTCCTTCCTCATCCCCTTGTATTTAGCCTTTTCTGTTCTCTTTTCTTGATGTTATACTGTGCTCAAGTGTACATCTGTTTCTATATATACAAATAATTGACTAGAGTTTGTGTATGAGTGAGAACATGCAGTTTTTTTCTTTCTGAGATCAAGTGACCTCATTAATATTTACATTCTAATTCCATCTATTTTGTTGTAAAATTAACATCACTTTTCCTGAGAGCTGAGTTGTACACACACACGCTCATTACCCATTCATCTTTCGATAGACAACCAGGTTGCTTCGAGTTCTTTGCTACAGTGAATAGGGCAGAGACAAACAAGGAGTGCAGACATTGCTGTGGTAGGCTATGGGATTTTCTGCATATGCACAGAATGGGTGGAAGAGCTGCCCATCTGGCTTTAAAAGATGACTAAGACAAACACCTAAGTGGAGGCCAAAACAGAAACTTTCATTCACTGAAAATAATAAGTGTGGCCCCATATACTACATAGAGATCTGGAAAACTTTGGCTTTAAAATAATTTTTACCTTGGTTCAAAAAGCAGACAAAAAGCTAAGATCCAAAGAAAAACTCTGAAGTTCTCAATTGGAGCTTAGCCACAGACACCATAAGCCACCAGTAAGAATTGGAGACGGCGGGAGGGCAAGGCTGCCATCTTTGTCCCTTGTGTCCCATAAACTCCCACTCTGGCCCAGCCCCGGTCCTGGGAAGCCTGTGAGACATGGGATCACCTGGTTTATGTGCATCTTAGACACCTGCAAGAGTCCTGCATATAGATCAAGGTAGCTCTGTTCATGCATACAGGACTTTAACCCCTTCCTGGTGCTCTCTCACCTTGCAGCCCTCGAATTCCCGGCCTGCCCACAACTCTGCTGAATTGGACCCCTTTAAGTTCCGGTGGCTGATCCCCATTTCTGCACTTCAAGTTAGACTGGGGAACACAGCAGGTAAACACTTTGGGGATGCAACAAGGAACACTTTTATGTGTGTTTCATTCATGTGGCATGAAAAAGCAGGGGATGCTTATGGTTTTAGTCTGGTACTGTGGCAGCACGGGCCATGTGCACAGAGCACGGGACGGCAGACATCTGTTCACTTTGTGGTCAGGGAGCAGGGACAGGAGGGGCATTCTAGCTACACCTTCTCTTAACAGCTTCCATCCCTTCTCCCCCCAGTAGTACCACAGGCTACCCACCAAGTCTTAAAATTTTATGAACTTAAACATACTAGAAAATTCCTTAAGAGTACTGCAAATAAAGAAAACTACAAAATGCCCCTCTGACCTTGAACAATAACTCATTCCTTTAGTTATAACTAAGGACCTTCTAGAATAACTAATTCTTCAATTAACTTTTATGTACTGACTTTTGTAAGAGGTGCTTATGTTTCTAAGAACATGCCTGCATGGGAAGGAAGGGGCTTTATCACCTCAAGTTCCTGAGCAAATCCTCCTGTTTGTTCCAAGAATGGGGCTAAAATCTCAAGTAGGAGAGGAACTGGGACTTGGTAGCTGAGACAAGAGGCTTGCCACAAATTCAAAACCAGCATGGGCTATAGAATGAGATCCTGCCACACACAGCCAAAACAAAACCTAAAACTACCAAAGAGGGATGAAGAATTTCATCTCAATTTTTGTAGCTAGTTGTTAATGTCTCTGAGTGAGCTGTAGAACTACAGAGCCAGGATAGGGGGTGTTTGAGTTGTGAGCACCTCAGGTACTCTTAACCATAGCATTCTGGCCAAGTTGTGGACTCTTGTTTCCATTTCCTTTACCCAGGGACTGAAAATAATTCCATATGGGAGCTGATTCATACGAAGTCAGAAATTGAAGGGCGGCCAGAAACCATCTTTCAGCTGTGCTGCAGGTACTTCCCTGGACAAATGGGTTTAAGACTTCACTGTGTCCCCTTTTAGAGGGGAGTTTAGGGGCTGGAGAGATGGCTCAGCAGTTGTGAATACTTGCTGCTCGGCCACAGGACCGGGGATCGGTTCCCAGCACCCATGTCGGGTAGCTCACAACCACCAGTAACTCCTGCTCCATATGATCTGATGACTCTTCTGGTCTCTTCAGCGGCCCCCAGCACCACCCCTAACACGTACACACGAAAAATCTTTAAAGTATATGTGTGTGATATTTTTAGTGCCCTTCTGAAATTTAGTTTTAGGGTACAACTTCTGCCTAAAAGGGGCAACTGTGGGTCCATTAGAATATATTGATGAGATATAAAGTAATTCATTCTCACCTCCTTTAATTCAGAAAAGTCAGGCACACATTGGTGGGTAGCTTGCTAGCTTCTGAGGTGCAAGGCAGAGCTGGCCAAGGCTGTGTCCCCAGGAAGGGCCCACACAGAAGCAGAACAGACAGTGCATCCTTCATGCTCTCTTTCTTCTCCTTTCCCCAGTGACAGCGAGAGCAAGACTAGCATTGTTAAGGTGATCCGTTCTATTCTGAGAGAGAACTTCAGGCGCCACATAAAGTGTGAGCTACCGCTGGAGAAGACCTGTAAGGATCGTCTGGTGCCTCTTAAGAACCGAGTTCCTGTTTCAGCCAAATTAGGTGAGAATTTTATTAGCTCTGTTCTAATGAAGAAAACATGTCCCTTGCCCCAGTCCAGTCATTCTTCCATAAAACACACCGACTTCAATGTGGATTCCTTCTTTTATCAGCTGGCATGATGTAATGCAGGCTTCTTCCTCTGAGATGAACGTGGGTCTGGGGGCTTTGCTCTGCCAGGCCTCCTGAAGGTCAATACTTAATTCAGATCACAAAATGGAATAGGCTCATTCTTATGCAATCACTGCAGCAGGTCACCTAGAATATACTAGAATATACTGTTCATGTACACTCTCCCACCTAGCAACCCTTGAGTTCTTTGTTCATTTTGTATTCTTTTTTTTCCGAGACAAGATTTCTGCATAATAACAGCCCTAACTGTCTGGACTTAGCTCTGTAGACCAGGGTGTCTTGTTTGTAATCTTACAGGGCACACACTTTTTCCCTTTCCCTTCCCATTCTCTTTCTCTCACATACCCCAATTTGATCTCTCTACATCTTTGTTTTCTATTCTGTTGTCAAAATCATCTATGGTCATCAAAACGAATGTGGTGCTAATGAATTATAGGGACATTCAAACTAAGAATTCCCTTTGAACAAAGTCAATGAATATCTCCCGCCCACACAATTACGAATGCACAATGTTAATTCTCTTCAAGTTGGTTATAAATTCCAGCAGAGACAATGCTCAAGAGAGATAAGAGCATTTTCAGCTTCTAATGGAGCATCTAGGGAAACAGAGAGGCTAAGCATAGAGATATGGTATAATAGTTTCAGATCTAGGTAATGTAGTAAAAGTATAACCTATTTTTTTTTTAGTGATTAACTATTCAATTTACTCATTGGCAAAATAAGTAATCCTAGCCTTTATGGTAGTTGGTACTTTATTATTCTATCTATATGGTGAAGCTCTAGGAATCTAAAAAAAATAATGCTGAATTGTAACTTAAGAATTTCAGATATGCCTGGGGGTGTAGCTCAGTGGGCACAGCGCTTGCCCAGCGTTCAGCAGACTCTTGCTCTTGAGCATGCATAGAACCAGGTGTGGTGGTGTGCACTGTAATCACAGCACTCAAGAGGAGGCAGGAGGCACAGAAGTTTAACACAATGACTGAGAAGCCAGCCTGGGCTCCAAGAGACCCCTACAGACATCAGTAAACTCACTGCTTGACGTAACTACATGGGTTTGCCACCTAACTGCCAACTCTACATTCACATAATAAAATCTTCACATAGGTGTCACAGCCCCCAAGGCCCTAACTCTACACTGTAGAATCTATTTGTGTCATATGGAGGAATGTGCTTTTCTCTCTAGCCTCATCCAGGTCTCTGAAGGTCCTCAGAACATCCTCCAGCAGCGAGTGGCCCGGCGAGCCCAGCAAGGGCAACTCACTGGACTCGGACGAGTGTAGCCTGAGTAGCGGCACCCAGAGCAGTGGCTGCCCAGTGGTGGAGAGCAGGCCGGACTGTAAGAGCACCGTGCTGGAGAAGGACCCTCAGGAGGGCCTGGCAGAGTTTCCAGATGGTCTCATCAAAGAAAGTGACATTCTGAGTGATGAAGAGGAGGACTTCCACCACCCTCTGAAACAGGGCAGCCCTACTAAGGACATTGAGCTTCAGTTCCAGAGACTGAGAATCTCCGAGGAGCCCGACACGAACCCAGCTGGGCCACAGCCTACGGGGCCAGGCGAGCAGCCCAGGCTGGTCAGGGGCCACTTTTGCCCCATTAAACGAAAAGCAAACAGCACCAAGAGGGGCAGAGGGACCTTGCTCAAGACGCAGACTCGCCACCAGTCGCTTGACAGCCACCCCGAAACTGCCAGCATCGATCTAAATTTGGTGCTGGAGCGAGAGTTCAGTGTCCAGAGTTTAACCTCGGTCGTTAATGAGGAGTGTTTTTACGAAGCACAGAGCCACGGCAAATCGTAGGACGTGCGTGGCGGGTTACAGAACTCATCTGTAAACTGGTGAGAAACACAACTGCAGGACACCAGCTGCGTTTGGGTTCGTGCAGTATATATTCTTCCACAAAACTTGCTGTAAAGATTTAAGTTATTTTAATTTATTGTGGATCAGAAAACTAGAGATTAGAACCTGTAAATTGTGTATTACATCCCTTTTGAGTAGGAATCAAATGATTTAGTCTTGTAATAGAACTGAATTCTAATTATTTTAAGTTATGTGAGAGAAGGAAGCTTGGGAAAGTTGTGATTAATGGCTTTTAAAAGGGTCCCTCCTTCAATCCTCTGGGCATTTTCTTTGAGCTGTTAGTTTTTTGCTTTATTTAAAGCACATTTAAGTTATTTTTATGTGGTTTAGGGGCACAATGTGCAGATATTTCAGTTTTGCAGGTTGTAATAAATGCTGTTTATACTAAACATGTCGCATCTATGCAGTATATATATTAAAGGACAGCTTGTACTGTATCTACTTGCTATTTATTTTCTTAAGTAATGGCATGTAAGTAAGTCATCTGGTTACTCACTGGTGTTTGTCTTTACAGATGCAGAGGACCCACACTGTGGATGTGGAGCCCTCAAAGCAGCTGTTAGGACTCCCAGCTTTCTGGGTCCTCATCTTTCCCTTGGCCTTTTCTTCTCTTTTGCTTGAGCTCATCTCTGAAATTATAAGCAAAGAGCTGCGGGTCTTCCTCACACATTTTCCTGTACACGTCACACAGGCTCTTAAAGTGCATGAGCGAGAGGTGGATGGGCCGGAGGGTGGGGTCAATGTCCGCCAGCTGTAGCAGCCTTCCAGTGCTTTCCAGGCGCTGAGCTTCAGGGAAGAGCATTCTGAAAGGAAAGTGGGAGGGGCTGACTTAAATTCTGTCGATCAAGGTATCTTTGCATAAACTTCAAAATGACACACTGATAGTGCCTGAGGCTCTTGGAGCCTCTTGGGTACCCAAAGACTCCCTGTGTGACTCACTGGAAGCAGGTCTAAGCTAAGACTTGCAAGGTGTGTCCACAGAGGGAAAACTGTCTTCCTAAGCTAAAACAAATGGTTTGATTCTCTAGAACCTGGATGTATTTAAAGTCTTTAAAACCCTTTACTCCAAAAGAAAGTGCTAAGTTGTCTGTTATGGAAACAGTTAATCATCTTTAAAACTCAGTGTGCATTTTAAATTTAATTAATCAATCAACTGTTTTTCAAGAGTAAACTTAAATGCCTGGACCTTGCCCATTGGAGCTCATCCAAAGGGCTTGGCAGAGGCCATGGTCAGTGAAGGAAGAATTCTCCCAGGCTGATGGTGACGCACACTCCCCAACCTCTAAGGGGAGATGACTTAGTTTCTAACACCTGGGAGCACTTTGTAGTATGGTGTGACTGAAGGATCACCATCCTTTAAAGTGAATTTTGGTATTTGGTCCATGTCTCTGTAGAGGAAGGCATATTCAGATGAATAGGGCCCATTACTGAGTTTAGGGGTTGTGGGGAGTTGCTTTGAAAGCAGTAGGACTAGGCTCACCATAAATTCCAGGATTTTCAAAAGGAAGATGTACTTGTGATTCCCGCCACCTCCAATTAGAGCTAATATGTACAGATGTATGAGTTTTACTTTAAAATTAGAACAGACATTCATAATCAAAAGAGGGTTTTACAGGTTGCACTGGTTTCAGGATGCAGTTGCTTTGACACACCTGAAATCATTTCATGTACTAACCCAAACTTCTTACATCCCTACAGAGAACCAAAATGGATCTGTGTAAGTCTCAGAAAGTGTGTGCTACGAGCGGAGCCCTTTTCAGCAGCTATCCGTTGACTATAAAAAGTGTACCTAACTAAATGTCTTAAAAGCTGCTAGGTGAGAGGGAATGGGTGTGGTGGCTGCAGGGCTGGGGCTCAGTCTGACAACACAAGAGCTCCCACTGAGTGGAGGCCTAGGACACTGCAATGACATCATGTCAGCTAAGAAGGTATGTCTGCTTCTACCTAGTTCTCAAGCGCGTCCTTAAGGAGAGAGACAGCAACCCACTGAGTCCTGCCTGAGAAGCCTTCCTAGCAGCGAGTCAGCAGAAGCTGTGCACATGTGTGCTTTAGGTAGTATTTAGACCAAACCATACCAAACCTGTATATGGAAGGTGAATCTGGAGCTTTTCCTCAGTGGTGATGACATGTTGCTCACCACAGGAACTAAACCAAGAGCCAGAGTCATACATGCTGTTTAAGAGTCAAAGTCACAAAGGTTTCTTACCCAAGCCCTCGGTGGCAGTACTTCCTCCGGAACTGAAATACGTTCTGAACAACTTTTTCTACCAGCTTGAATGGTTGCTCGATCTTGGGCTGTATCAACGGTGTAAAGTGTACCACTCCTACGTCAACCTTCATTGAGAGCAAACAGCAAAACTGTGATTGCAACTTGTTCTCTAGTCCTGGGGATCCAACCCAGGGCTTCCTGCCTGCCTGGCAAGCCCTCTAATGCCAAGCTATGTCCCTTGCCATAGTCAATTCATCTGTGAAAACCACAGAGAGGATGTGGGCTCTCTAGCAGTTCTCAGGAGCCATTTAGTGGGCCTGTGTCTTCTCTGGACACACAAGCTAAGTTTTGGGGGTCTGCAGAAATCCCAGGGGGCTGCAACTATGCAGAAAAGTGTCCACTACAGCCAGGACTTCAAATGCCAACGGTGCAATCAGCCATCCCAGACACCAGCGACCTCAGACACCAACGACCAGCTACACCAGTGACCGCAGACACCAGTGGGACATCGCCAGAATAATCAGACATTTCCTGGACCCCCTCAACGCCCAAAGCCAGCAGGAAGCAGCCATGAGAGACCGGACTACGCCCCCATTCAATACCCTTTAAGGTCCCCCAATTTTTTTTTTAATCAAACCAAAAGGGTGAAATGTTGTTCTCTTGCAACACTACAACTCCCAGCGTTCCCCTGGACTCCAGCACACGCAAGTGTGGGACACATTTCCCAGAAGCTTTTGCATTCCCCGTTAAAAAGCGGGGGCCGCCACGAGCCTCTCTCTCTCTCTCTTCTTTTTCTTCCCCGCCTTTCCTACCGTGTCTGCACGCCTACTACCTGTTTGTTATCCCTTCCCCATTAAAGTGCACCCACGTGGGGAAAAAAAAAAAGTGTCCACTAGACCTGTGCCCGACGGTCACTTCATTTGAAATGTGGAATTGCAATGGCCTGTAAAAGCCTATATGCGTAACTGCCCAGGCCAGCAGGCAGGCAGCCGTTGGCAGTGGGACGAGCATCTTAGCTTTCAGATGAGTAGAGTAAGCTGAAGCAGCAGTTCTGACTGTAGGCTGGGATCCCCCAAGGACCACTTAGTGCTGAATTTGCCAGAAAGGGATGATTGGGAAACCAGCTATTTTGAGGACAGATGCTGATTACTCAGCTGGGCTGAGTTCATGTGCAGAGTCCACGCAGTCCCAGGACTTTCAGTAGCGACTTTACATGCACCAGGAGGCAGAGGCAGAACTGAGAAGGAAGACAGAATTTTTAAGATGTCACTGTTGGACAGGGTTTAAGCTGCTACCAGCTGTTGAGATCATGTAATTACAGAAGACTAGACTTCAGGCATATGTGGTAAAGAGTTATCTCCGGCCCTTTTCCAAAAATGGACTCATGAATAAATCATTGAGAATCACTAACAATGTAACAATTGTAGAAATGCAAAGACAGGGCGCAGTGGGGTCAAAACAGTCCTGGAGAGCTCCCACGCAGAGCTGCCTGGAGGCCTCTACAGAAGTGGAAGCCTCTAACCTCTAAGTGAATAAAGCAACGGCCTCGGGCATTGCTAACTTGCTCCAGAGGCAAAGAAAGCACAACAATTTAGGCAGCGTGGGTGGGCAGCTGCTTTTCAGAATGAAGTCTGCTCTCCAGCCCCTCCCATTCAGGCTATCATTTTCTCTCAGGTTGATGGGTTTTGCAAAATTCTTGTGGCTACACAACTCCTTTAAAATTGGCCGGCAACACATGTGGGATGGGGGCGCACTGGTTTGCTTTTCCATGGGAAGAAAAATAAAGAGCTAATACATGGGCTGGGCCTGGAAGAGCAAAGCAGCTGAAGATGAGCTCGGTCTCATGTGAGCAGGCTCCCTGGGCACCGCAATGGTGTTTCCCACAGTCTGCCTTGCCTCACCGGTCAGTTGGCCCACAAAACTCCTCTCCAGAGCCGCCTGTTGCTAAAGCTCCACCCCCTGTAGTTTACCAACTGGATGTAGCAGACAGTAAATCTTTGACCACGAGGATGGTGTGGCTAAACACACAAGAATGTTCTAAACAAAAGTTTAAAGGTCCTGGGGAGGACCTTTCTACACCAAATACAGGATAATCAACCTACAATCCACAGCCCCAGAGAGGCTAGATAACAGGTCCCAAACAGGGATGCACGGATTTCCCAGGAAAGGAAACAGAAGAGATCTCCTGGGTGGGGGAATGGGAACTTCAGGGAGTGGGTTGGGAGCAGGACAGAGGGGAAGAGTAATGAAAGAGACTGTCTTGATGGGGGGCATTTCAGGGTTAGGGAGAAACCTGGTGCCAGGGAAACCCACAGGAACTCACAAGGATGACCCCAGCTAAAACTCCTAGCAATAGTGGAGAGGGAACCTGAACTGGCCCTTTACTGTAACGAGATTAGTGACTACCCTATTGTCATCAGGGAGCCTTTATCCAGTAACTGATGGAAGCAGATGCAGAGATCCATAGCCAAGCACTGTGCTCATGAGCTCCAGGAGTCCTGCTGAAGACGAGGAGGCTCTGAATGAGCCAGGGGGGCCAAGGTCATGATGAGGAAGCCACAGAGACAACTGATCTGAACTCCTGGGAGATTACTGACTCCCTTAACCAACAGTAAGGGAGCCTGCATGGGACCAACCAAGGCCCTCTCCATGTGACAGTTGTATAGATTGGTCTATTTGTAAGGCTCCTGGCAGGGAGACCAGCTCCTGATGCTTAGCTGGCTTTTGGGGGAACTGTTCCCCCTTTCTGAATTAGCTCTCGCAGCCTTGATGTGGGGAGGAGCTCGGTCCCACCTCAGCTCCAGGTGCTCTGCTTTGTGCAAGCCCATGGGAGGTCTGCCCCTTTCTGAATAGAAGACTGGATGGGGAAGGGAATGGGAAAAAAGGGAAGGGAAGCTGTGGTCAGCATGTAAAATAAATGGAAAAAAATGTTAATTAAATAAAAAATCCAAACTTTAGACCTCTTTGGTGAAGATTATGGTGAAGAGTTGTTGTGAATACTAAGTACAATATTAAATGTTCTCAATAACATTCCTTCCCCACCCTCTCCTTAATAACCTTACAACACTTTCCAACTGCATTCTGTAAGTTTCTTTATCAATTCTAGTTAACATACACTTCCTGTGAGATTGCCTTAGCCCTGCAAACACAGGCGGTTTGTAGTTACAGACAGCAGTAAGGAGGGAGTGGCAGAGATAGCTGGGACTTTTAGAAGGCAGGCACTGTTGGAGGGAGAGGATGGCTCACTTTTAGGGTACTCCTGGGAGGAACAGGTCCTTAAACTGGAAAGGAGAAGCAGCCAAGATTTACCACGATGACTGTCCAAGGACCTCGACATGCCCATTCATCTTGATTCTCCAGGTCTGAGAAGGTCCTAGAGCATCTTCTATACTTCACCCTGCTTTGTCATTCTGTGACCTCCTGGGCCCTATAACATTTGCATCCACAGGCATTCCTGCCTCGCCTCTCTTCCTGCCACTTTCTTCAGTCATCTCTGATGATTCTCCCCAATAAACCGTTAACTAAGAAGTTATCTTGTAGACTCAGTGCACAGTCAATGACCTACTGGCGTCAGATCACCTTTCAGCAGGAAAACAAAACCCAAACAGCATGCGATCAAATATAGCCTCCACCCAATCTGGAACTACGAAAGTGTCAGAACACTGGATGAGTCCAAGTGCTGCTAAGACCAAAGGCACACATTTGGGAAGGATGATCCAATCTTGTAGCAACGTAGCTGCCACTTATAGCAGTATTTGTGGATTTTACAAATTGGCTTCATCCTTACTGCTTAGTATCATCCCTTTGCAATACAGTTACTGCTTGCAAGTACAGGAGTTTCTAATGCTTGCTTTATTTAAACAGCCCTAAAATGCTGACTATCATAGCATTCTACATAAGCTAGCAGACTTCGAACATTAATCTGCTACCCAGTTAAATAGGCATTATATCACAGCTGATGGAAAATTCCCATTCACAAGCACAATAATACATGGCAGAACCCTAAAACTCACTGGTAGAGAGCTCAGTTAGCAATTGTCTGGCTTTGGGAAGGTCACTCCTGTTAACTTTCTCTGCTCTTTCCTGCAGAAGCAATTCTTTTGTCCTTCTGTCCTTCCTTCCTTCCTTCCTTCCTTCCATTTCAAGACAGGGTTTCGCTGTAGCTTTGGAGCCTGTCCTGGAACTAGCTCTTGTAGACCAGGCTGGCCTAGAACTCACAGAGATCCACCTATCTCTGCCTTCTGAGTGCTGGGATTAAAGGCACGTGCCACCACCGACTGGTGCAAAAGCATTTCTTAAAATTACTCTGAGTGATGGAGGCCATTTTCTCTAAAGCCACACAGGAAGTGCAGTAACTATGGTAACAGGTATAAAGTGCTCTTTAGTTATAATTGAACACTTATTTAATACAACAACCATTATTTTTTTCTCTTGAAAAATCTATTGAGTTAGAATAAAATCAGAAGAAAAAAGAAAGAAATAGAGGGAAGAAAGAAAAAGAAACTAGACATACTTAAAATACTCTGGCTTCATTGTCGCTCATCAGTACTGTAGGTGGGCAGGGTTGCTGATGCTTCCCTCCCTTAGAAGTTGGCATAGCGCCTTCCAATACTACAAAAACTAGCTCTCACAGGGAGAGTCGTCCAGCTCTTATGTCTGAAGAGCATGGCACCTTCAGCAATGGGGACTTAACCTTGCATCTCTGAGAAGCAACCAAGGGCAACAACAACAGCCTGGATTGTTTTTAGGATGCCCCTAAGTAACAACCTGAAAGGAGGGAGGGTTATCATGCCTGGTTCTAGAACCTTAGCCAACTACTGGGGCTAGTGACATCATGGTTGTCAGAGGGCTTGCTACCATATGTTACTAAACCAGTATAACTGCTAACTGCATTCTAAATATCCTTACACCCAGAGGTGTCGCTCCCACCCTTCACAGAAACTTCCCTCTGCAACAAAGACCATTGCAGAAAACCATAACTGGTCACTGTGTAAAGAACAAGTGATCTTGGGCTTCCCAGCGCCAATGGACACATCTGCAACACAACTCTTGCATCTAAGGCTCAGGGAACATCTCAGAAGAGGGGCAGAAATACTGTAAGAGCCAGAGAACCAAGGAATCTGCTATGAGATTGTTGTCTCCCGGGAATGACAGGGAAGCCTCACCCATAATCCCTCAATAATATGCCTGCTGGAACAATACCTGAAGCTTCCAGCAGGCATATTAGTTCATGTATTAGTGGGATGCCATAAAATTTTACCTTCCATGTTAACATGGTCTTGCTAGTGGCTTTCAAAGTCCTTATTGATGTCACTCATCTTCAGGGAACCTCAGGTTTCCTCTCCCAGAGCTGACACCCTGGCATTCTCTGAGGCTATTACTGGTTATTAGGAGCAGGTGATAAGAAGGCAGAGGAAAACCCAAAGTGCTTGATGTGCTGCTGGGCCTATGGAGGTATGTTTATAGGATACTTAAGTCACTGATTTCAGAAAGAAAGAGAAGTCAATCATCAACATAACATGTTAAAAGATCTCACAAAAGCTTTCCTTAGATAAATGAAAATAGATGAAACTACTCTGCCCCCAAACAGACTTAGCTTGAGTAGTAAGTGGGGGTTTAGAGTTGAAGTGTGAAGTGGCTGTACACAATATATACACACATACATACACACACACATACACATACACACACACACTTTCTAAAGAGGTGATGGAGTGCACATTGCATCAGAAGCTGTACTGGGCTGGGCCTTGTTTCCATTCCTGCGACTTAGTCATTACAACCACAGTTAAGCCACTAACTGGGTTTTCTTCCTTTTACCTCACAGGTTGTCTGGAAATTAGATGTTATAGGTGCCTTAAACAGTATATAGTCTTAGCAGTTAGGTTTTTAAGTGTGGATATTATTAAAGATGCCAAACCAAAGAATTCCAAAATTACTTGAGAAATTATAGTCCTGTTTAGAAATGATTAAATTTATTTTTGATCATTCAAAAGCAATTTATAGCTTAACTAATACTTTATATATTGAAAAGCAGTGATGAATTTTTCATCCACAAATACTTACTAGACTGCACTATGACCCAGGACCATGCCCAGCTCAGGAGCCCTGGTGTTGTCAGGTGAGCAGAAGGCCCTCCCCATGGCAGGGCTACATTGCAATGTTGCTGAGCCTCAGAAAGGCAGGAGAGGCTCTGAGCTACTTTAAAGTCAGACTCAAAACAGTGTTGAACAAATGTATGCTGTGTACGGAAACAAGGATGACATTTAAGATTTAAGCCTTACCAAATGGCAGGGAGTGTCAGCTTTTACATACACAGAGTACATTTGGGGAAGGTAAAGGGGACAGTTTTGCAAATCGTTGAATCCGGTCCTGTCAAGTCAGCAGATGGAAGCACAGCTTGGGAATTCATGGAGAAGGTCCTACACTAAAGGAATATAATATTTATCTTGAACAGTTTCAGTGGACTTCAAAGACTCTTTAATATCCACATCAGAAGCTGATAGCGTTCTGATTTACATTTCTAAATATGCTCCTCCTTAAGCTCCGCTCCGCAGGCCGTCAGGACCACAAGAAGGTCCGTCCATCTCTCTCATCTGCTAGATAAAGGGTGCATCTCAGGCAGCCCCGGGAAGGAGTCCACACCAGGCCCTGAAGGGAGTGTCTAGGCTGCTTCTGAAGCAGCAGTAATAACAGTGCTGTTAACACAGTAAAGTACACCCCGGCAAACATCTACAGAATGGTCCACATACTTCTACATGATCAAGTCTTTATTAAAGGGCAGTGCAGCTTAGAAGAATCCAGACGCTACTCCTCCAAGGGAGAAAAAACAGTAACTTGCTAAATGCCAAAGTGGGAAAAGAAAAGCAGATCCAAGAGAACACTGGGAAAACTCGAACATCTGAAACATGGCTTTCTCTTAACTTCTTTTAAAAGCAACCACTAACATCTAACACGTCTTAGCGTCTGTGCGTTCCTTGTGCTTTCTCATTGGCTTTTTTTTTGCCCGATTATTTTTTATTTTTATCTTATTTTCATTATCACTTCTATTTTTTTTGTAGATGGCTGTATTCTAATGAGAAAAAAGGGTGTGGATTTAGGTGGTGGGGAAGTAGGAATCATCTGGGAGGAGTGAAGGGAGGGAAAAACCATAATTGGAATATGCCATATGAAAAAAACAATTTTCAAAAACAGGCTGTAAAGTTTAAAAAATTAAAAGGTTATTCTTTTCTGCCTAACGGCTATGTGATTTATAACCTGTAAAATTATTATTATTAAGAAAGACAGCTAAGCTAAAGGGCTGAGTGAACACCTGCAGACATGCCCACGGCCCGAGCTGTTACTGCCATGCTTCATGCCCTCATCTGCTCGAAGAGCAATCAGGGTTCCCTGACCTGTGGGAAGCCCAAGGACCGCCCACCTCCTTCCAGGTCTAGTTAGGTGAGCATCCAAACTGCCTAGGCTCCCCCAAAGCCAGTACGTGCAGTAGGATCAAAAATCCACTGCGATTGTTCTTGAGTTCTCAGTAGTCCTCATTGTCCACTATGTTCAGATAGTCCGGATTTATCCCATGCTTTTTCAGACCTAGGCCAGCTGGCCTTGGTGAGTTCCCGATAGAACATCCCCATTGTCTCAGGAAAAATTTCTTCTGAGTGGTTTTTAAAAGTTAACAATTTTGGGAGTCTTAGCTTCACACAAGACAAGAAGCAACGGAATGAAACCTGAAAGTGGCAGTATCACTAGCGTCTGCAGAGCGCCATCCGGCTGACCCGTTTCAGACGGCATTCTTTAACTAAGGACACAGAACCGCATCTTCCAACACTGACAAAAATTCAAAACTAAATTATAACTATGACTAAAACAGAACATGAAAAGAAAAGGCGGCCTTTTGTGAGCACCCAGATAATCCTCCTCTGTGCAGAGCAGCACAACAGCGTTCAGGGCTCAACAACTCCCTCGCTTCCCCGCCTCTCCTTTCTTGATTCTCCCACAGCTCAGACTGAGAGGAGAACCTGGTATTTATCTTCAGCGCCGTCAGCAGTTCTCAGCCTCATCTCGAAGGGACTCTTTATTTGCTATTTCCCTCTAACTTGTGGGCACTTAACAGGCAATGCTCATCAGATTGCAGAACCAGCCTCCCCCGTGTGGCTTCTTGGCACCAGACCCTGAAGACGTCGGGAGTCAGCTCACAGGGCAGGTAAGACTGGGGTGGGAGGGCTACTGGCAAAGGTATAGGGAGCTTCAACACTGTGCGGCAGCTAAGTCCAGAACTGTGGCTACTGCTGCATCTGAATTGGAAGTTACGTATCTGTCTTAAAGTATTTTTGGTATAAACGAATCTTTTCTGGAAAGCTGGCTTTACATTTTGAAAAAAAAAGGGCAAATTTCTTTTTAGCAAGCAGTTCATAGACTGGACATTTCTAGGTTCTGTTCTCCATGTGAAGTGTGCTGGAAATGTGTCCTAAAGGTTCCAGTTCCCATCGGTGCCCCACGCTTGGAGGGACGGCCACAGTGGTTCCTATACTGCTCTTGTCACCACACCTCTGATTCCCCACCACACCGAGGGAGCCCGCCATACAAACTACTATGCCTGTGGCTGGAGAGAGCGCCAGTGCAGTAGTGAACCTGGAGCAGGAAGAGCCTTCACTGTAGAGAACATGTTTTAAACAGAACTCTCTATGCACAAGAAGGATGTGAAGTCATCTTCTGTAGGAAGCAAGCGTTGTGCTAACTAGATGCAGTGTCTTAGTATTTACTTGCTAGCTTGCCTGTCTGCAATTTATTGCTGCCAGGACTTGTTACTTATGACAACAACTGCTTGCAGGTCTGCATGATACTGACATTTAGGTAACAGTGTTTGATGGAAAGAAAAGGGCTATGATGGAAAAGCTGGATAGAATCATCATATTAAAATTTCCCATCAAAGCAAAAATGAAAGCAAGCATCAAAACGATCTTAGGGAGTATTAACAGTGACCTCAACTGCTGGAAAACTCCTGGGCCGGAAAGACTGTGAAACAGTCTCGGTGACTGACACCTGAACAGCTCGTGTAAAACTGTACACACGTGCCTGAACTCAGGAGCTCGTGTAAAACTGTACACACGTGCCTGAACTCAGGAGCTCATGTAAAACTGTACACACGTGCCTGAACTCAGGAGCTAGTGTACAACTGAATACACATGTGCTCATCCCTGCTCCCCCCCCCCCTTAAGCTTTTAACTTTCTGTTGGTTAGAGCTGGGGAATCTGGCAAACAAAAGTATCTAACAGCTTAGCAGCAGATACGCCCTAAGATCACTGAGGTTTGTACACACACTGACTCAGAAGAATGTAAAATCTCAGAGACTCCTAAAATCATGGGAGTGACAAAACTAGAACTCAGTCTAGGCAGAGGAAGCTCTGATGACCTAGAGACTCACTTGTAGCCATGGCAGGTCTGTGGTTTCCACACAGGCTCAGATTATCTTGTTAAGGTATTTAACAAGAGCTGCACCTGACAGCTCCATAGAAGACGGGCATGGAGGTTTCCACCTGAGCTCATTGACTGGAAAAGTAATGAAACTCAAGATTACAGCTGAGGCTTTCCTCAGCTCTAGGACTCTAAGAAACTTCAGTCAGTCCACGGAAGGAAAAGAAAAACCCCTATAAAGTCCCACTTTCTGGAAGGATACTCAAATACAGAGAAATAACATGAAACCAAGAACCACCTCCAGCTATGTGAAGAGTGCGTGCATGAGAATCCTAAGTCAATGCAGCATATCATTAACAATTGTTTCAGAAAGACAAAAAATAAGCCAATACCGCAGCATTCCCAAGACTTTACACTGTTCACCAAGCAGCACACACTGTCAGATGGGTCATATGGTGAACAGGAATATGAACACGGAAGTAGGAAGCTGTTCTGAAGTAAAACAAGGGGTGGGCTGTTATTTTACCTACAGCCAACTATGTGGCTATTTCTGGCACAGACTTTCAAGATCTTCTGTTCCTGCATCTGAATCACGCAGGGGAGCCTGTTTCGTGGCTGAACACTTTTGGATTGTTACGTGGGAAGGACTTTGGTTGCAAGTAGAAAGGATCTTACATTCTCATAAGCTAGTACCAGGGACATGATGCTAAATAAATGCTAACCTAGGTAAGGACTATGCAGGACTCTAAAGTCCTTCAGTTTCTCTTTCTCCTTCAACAAGACCCTCGGGCACACATGGTGTGTGCTGAGTGAAGATTTAATTCAAACCATTTTTCAGTTCTTAACTTTTCTTATATCTATAAATTATTTATAGGAGGTAGATTTAAGCTTTTAATTGCTTATGACTTATTTTCATTAAAACAAAGTTATTTAAAATGATCTACAATGCAAATAAAATTCTGTATCAGATACTACAGCCACAATTTGAAGTGTCTAAACTGCCTAACAAGGTATATGCTCATTTCATAGACATTTTCAGAATAATTAGGGTCTTATGTGGATAACTACAGTATGCTCCAAATTCAGCACTTCTTGTGACGCTCACTCAGTAGAATGCTATTCCGCAGGCCCACTTAGGAACCTTTCTCTGAGATAGCAGCATCCTCATCTGCTCTGTGTGTGTGCCTATGTGCGTGTGTATGTATGCAGCATGGAGACACGGGTGCTATTCAGGTATGTTCTGGCTCCTGTATGAAGCCTTTGTTAACTTATTCTCCTGTTCCTCCAATTCTATTCTGCTTTTTTCCCTAGCTTTTGTTATTCAGTTCTCCACTCCACAGCATAGCTCCTGATTTGACCACGCACCACAATTAACCACTGGGTTCTTCTAAGAGAACAGAAGTTAAGAGTAACATCATGGCTTCAGCGGGTCTCCAGCTCCTTGCTTTCATCCTGGCCTTATCTGGGGTCTCTGGAGTACTCACTGCCACTATGCTGCCCAACTGGAAGGTCAGTGCAGAGCCAGGCTCCAACATTGTAACTGCTATCGTGCAGGTGCACGGGCTATGGATGGACTGCACGTGGTACAGCACTGGGATGTTCAGCTGTACCCTGAAATACTCCATCCTGTCTCTACCCGTCCACGTACAGACGGCCAGGGCCACCATGGTGCTGGCCTGCGTTCTGTCTGTTTTGGGGACCTGCACTTGTGTAGTGGGGATGAAATGCACTCACTTAGGTGGGGACACATACACCAAGAGCCAGATCTCCTTGGCTGGAGGAATCTGCTGCATGGCTGCAGGGATCTCTGGCTTAATCCCAACAGTGTGGTACACCAAGGAGATCATAGAAAACTTTCTAGATGTGACCATTCCGAAAAGCCACAAATATGAACCCGGAGGAGCTGTCTACATCGGGTTCATCTCAGCGGTGCTACTACTTATCTCTGGTATTATTTTCTGCACTTCTTATATAAAAAAGAACCCAAAACCACGGATCTACCCCACCAGGCAGAAACAGACCTCTACCTGGCAGCCAGAGAACAGGTTAGCATATAACCTGAAGGATTACGTGTAAGAGCTGTGCTGTGAATGTGCAACGAAGCTCTGGGAGCCTGCTAAAACTTTATTAGAATGAAGAAAACGAGACAAAATACTCTTACGCTCAACTTTCTTTACAAAGAGGACAAAATATTAAAAAAAAATTATGAGGTACTTTAAAATGACAACAAACTACCATATACAATTATATCTGTCTTGAATTTCTTTATTTTCCTATTATTGCATTCATGTTTTATTTAAAAGTATATAATTGAAAGAGGTCTGACTATATTAATAAGGTGATGGGTGACAGCATTAATTTATTTTTAAAGATATATTTTAGATTAGTTTTTTTGTAATTATGAAGTATAAAAAGTACCTTCCCTTGGTGTTGATCAAGGATATCGCCTATTCTGCCCTCTGGTGGACAATGCCTGAGTAGCCGGTTTCTGTTTTAAAGCCACAGGATGGGGAGGAGACTCCAGTACAGAGGACCAGAACTCATGTACATGTTGCCCAAGCCATCAGCCCCAAGCCCCAGTTTCCATTCTAATTTATCATGTGTTATTATATAATGTATGCAAACTAAAATTAGATACGATTCATGAATTGGTAGATGCTACTGCAGCATACGAAAGCCAATATAAGCACAAACTAAAATATGGCACTTTCTAAGTACAAGGCGACTAATAAGACCTCTGCTTGCTTTAAATACCCAAGAGCTGCTCTCTCTTTTGCATCTAGAAAATGGATTAAGTTCATTTCCCCAATTATTTATATTTACCCCATCCCAATGAATCTCACAGTTAGCACTATCTGACTCAGTCACAGTTTTCCCCCCATACAAGGTATTGGAGAAGCCAGACGGCCTCCTGTGTGCTGGAGCTCAGAGACATGCTCCATTATGCTGGGCTCGGTCATTTTTAAGCTGTACTTTTTTCCTCAAATTTTATTCAAGTTAACAAATCACTGTTATCTTATATATGAGCATCTTCAGTTAATAGAAGTAAAATAACTTTTAAAGTACAAAGAAAGTTTTTAAAATATACATTTAAATTATGATATGCAACTAGGATATTCTATCAAAAATTTGGACTTCCCATTGGTGCAATGAACAGTGTAGGTTTTCCAGTAATTTGTTTGTTAATTCATTGCTCATAATACAACTTCTAAGAGAAAAAAGAATGTACATTAATGACTTAGAAAGAGAAAAGAGTGTTTATGTGAATGAATAATTTAAACTTGCGTAATCAGAAAAGAGACTAAAATATGTTAATTCCATTACTTAGTAGATTTCATGTTCCGAAGCAGTCATGCTCTATTAGGACAGCTGCAGCTAAGTTTTAGATCTTACCGACTGTTTCCTGCAAACTTTCTTCAGGGGAGCAAATACAACAAGTCACACTCATGAACTAACACAAACACGTAAAGACTCACCTCTGGTTTGGGAACAAAAGCTTTCCCAGGAATGGTAAAGAGGTGCTCAACTTTGCAGAGGTACTGGGCCATAATGGAAAGGCGGCTGCGCTGTTTGCTTCCTGTAGTGGCTACAAGTCTCTACAGAAGGCCAAAAGTAAGCAAACAAGTTAATCCCATTTGACTAGGCACATCTGACTCAAGACAAATTATTATGCTTCACACACTATCTGACACAAACCATGTAAACAAACATCATTAGCAAGACAGGCTGTAGAAGTGTCCATTGTATCATGTATAAGCACTGGAAAAACTCACATAAACTCTATAAATGACTGTCTGAGGTTTTCAAGTTACTGCTATATTCTACAACAGAAAGTCATATGTAAACAATTAATAAACACTGTATGAAGAAATTAGCAAATAAAGAAGGACTATAAAGATGGTTTTAAAAGTGCTTCCTTAAGTATAAAAACTTTGACTATTCAAGCACCTTTGAAATACAGGCTGTTCTTGACAATTTATGCAAAAATTCGGACATTTCCTTTTGACCACCCACACACTCATTTTTGAACTGAACTCAGCACAGAAAAAACTGATAAATAAAATGTAATTTGCATGAAAATCTCAATCATACTTTTAAAAAGAACTTCAATTTCCATATATAATATATATAAAATTAAAATTCAGATAAAAATTATATAGTATCAAGAATGGCCAAGACACTCCTGAATAATACCAACAATGCTCATGGGAGACTCACCCTACCTGTATCAAAATTAAGGCAGTATTGCTACAAACAGAGACAAACCAACAGGACAAAAAGACTCAAGCACAAGTGGGCTTCTGATACACAAGAGATGGGATTCTCTTAACAAAAGAGAAGGACAGACCATTCATTAAATGGTATGGGTGCAATTAAGCATTTACAGAGAAAAGACAAACTGCAATTTAATTAATGATAAATGAAAAACAAAATTTCAGTCTTTTGCAGGTAATATCTATGACCCAAAGTGGAGAAGATGCAAAAGCAGAAGCTACAAAAGATAGATCTTTTTCTGTTAAAACTTTCAATCAAAACACTATCAAGACACATCGTACATTCAGAATTGTGTGTAGAAGGCCAAATAATTAGTGGTCACAATATGAATGAGATGCCTACACACTAGGCATTACCAACCATAAGATAAACAACCAGGAGATATAAGACAAACTATGGCAGATCAATGAATTATAACCATTAACTAAGTTACACATATAAAAAAGCAGAGATGTGCAAATTAAAGCCAAGACAATCCATAGTTTCCCACATGGAACACTATAAAAAAGTTCATCAAGGGTGGAAAGAATGAGATGCTACAAGGGTTCTACGCTTGGCAGTGAGAGTGCAAAGGGCACAAACTGGTATTTATATACCAGTGTTGGACAATAATTTGTCAATAAAGGCTGAAGCATATCACTTACACAAAAGAAGATATACGCCCTCTGCAGCATTATGCACATTATCCAAAAAGTTGAAAATTATAATTCTACCAACAGGTAAATGACTATAATTTTGCCAACGGATATGAAATAACTGTTAAAATGGGTAACAGGGATTACTGGCATAGGTTACGTCCATCAATAGAGTATAGATTTTAAAGTGGCAAAAACCAGTGTGATATAATGCTTACATAAAAACCTTAGAATTTCTGTGTGTGCCTACATACATACCTACAATACAAATAGGAGATGTGTGGGAATGGCAACTACTACTTTTCACACAGTTCAAACCCTAGGAAGAAGGGCTATAAACACACACACACCATTTGACATTATGGGAAAGGCAATAAAAAATATGTTAAAATTGGGTAAGACTGAGAGTAATAGGTTCAAAGATCACTCATCTTTCTAAAATGTACCATGTTTCTGTGTTCTTGAGCTCTGAAGACATCCCAAAACTCTAGTGATCCGTTTAGGATCAAGGTCACGGACACTAGTAATGATTGGAACACCCGAAGCCAGGCACAGGACAGGATGTCCATGCTAGGCCACCGTCAGTGCTCCCAGAGCAGGTGCTGTTGGATTTTCACTCTCCGAGGTCACTGATGGGCATCAACTAATCTAACAGCTCATTTCCATTTCTGCATCTAACCTGTTCTGGGCATGAAAAAAATCATATAATTTGGTTTTTTAGAACTTTATCTTAAGACTAAAATGGACTTTGGGGTGCTGGAGAGATGGCTCAGTGGTTAAAGCACTTGCTGCTCTTACAGAGAACCTGGGTTTGACTTCAGCATCCACATGGAAGCTCACAGCCATTCATAACTTCAGTATCAGGAGATCCATTGGGGGCCCTGGACAGTAGGCATGAATGTGTACATATGTACAAGCAAAACGTTCATACACACAAAATAAAATATATAAACTGAAATGAAACAAGGTTTTTGCTGAGAAACTGAGGAATTTCCTCTGACATGTATGGAGATCGCACAGCTTCTATGCTGACATCTCCCATCCATCTCATCACACCCCCACCCCACCCCCTTGTAGTAATAAGAGGAGCGGCGGGGCTGCCTCCCAGCCCCGCCGCTCCTCTATTTACTACACCCCCTTCCCATTTTAAGCAACTGCTTATCTTCATTGGCAAAGCAGAAATGATTAGGAAACCGAGTTCAAGATAATGAAGTGCTATAGCATGTAAGACACAGAAAATTGCTCCTCAGTATAATATAAAGGCAAGAGATGTATATATTCTCAAATAAAACCTCCTGCATTAGTCCCCAAGTGCTTGGATTACAGCACAATCCACAGTGCCCAGTGATAAAAGCATCTCTAAAACTACAATCCAGCAAAAATATAATCATGAAATTTAAAAATTAACCCAAAGAATTGGCCATCACGGATTTCCTTCTTAAGGCATTGCTAATACGCTACTTTACATTTGAAAGATATGTTTCCAATGATGAATTCAAAAGAATTTAAAAATTACTTTAAAAAGCAAAAACCTGAAATGGGTGTAATTATTCTAACTGGACTTAAAGCACAGTTGAATACATTTCACTCTGAGCATGAAGCACTTAGGACAGTTAGAAATGGGGGTGTTCTAATCTAGACTCTGGGTCTAGTCAATCTCCCTAGCAAGTACACCAGGTTGTGGAGATAATTTAGAACAAAGCAGCACACAGAACTGTTAATCCATTGAGCAAAAAGTCAAGTCACAGTCCAGGAAGCCCGCAAAGACTTTACACTAAAAGCTACCCTGAGAAGTTACTGAGCTAATAACCATTTACATATGTATTGCCATTTTTATTTAGACACAGCACAGGTAAAGCTATGAACACAAAAGTCCAATAGAGGATTTTTTAACAATAAGAGGTCTGGACACTGAATGAGTTAAGTTTTCAGTAGAAGAAAACCATCAGCTCTTGAGCTTTAAAAGTCACTAAGGACAAGAAAACAAGGCAAGACAGAATTCCCAAGAAGAGTATTTCTTTTACTTTTTTCTGTTCTGTTATTTATCTAAAATAATTGTAAGGAGAAAAATTATACTTGTTGATGTGGGATTTCCCTCTGTATGCTGTGATTACTATTAATGAATAAAGAAACTGCCTTGGTCTGTTGATAGGGCAGAACTTAGGTAGGCGGGGAAAACGGGACTGCTGAGAGAAAGGAGGAGGAGTTAGAGAGAAGCCATGGAGCCACCAGAGATGGACGCTAGAACTTTACCCAGTAAACTACAGCCATGTAGTAATACACAGATTAATAGAAATGGGCTAAGTTAATACGTAGGAGTCAGTTAATAAGAAGCTAGAGCTAATGGGCCAAGTAATGATTTAAATAATACAGTTTCTGTGTGATTATTTGGGTTCTGGGCAGCCGGAATGAACAAGCAGCTCCCTCCAACAATTTGTATTTGTGAATTTACAATGTTGGACCAGGGACAATGAATGTTATGTCATTAAGAGAGTGGTGACATCTTCCCTTCTAGGGATGTAACCACAACCATCCAATGTCTCCTGGAAACAGGAGACTGAGGTTGATGTTGGACCCACTTAAAAACCCACAGGCCCAGCACAATGGAGAACTTGAACCTTGTGACTCTCCTAGGAAACACAGGACCTGTGATCTGGTTCAAGTGCTGCCCAATCTGTGAAGACAATAAAGCACCCCAGTCAGTTTTCATTATAGAGAGAGTTCAGATGAGGTTTGTTAAGCTCTAACTACTGCTAGATAGTCTTGACTCCTTTTCTGAGATGTAACACCATTTAGATGCCCTTTAATGCATCCAGAGTGAATTATGTTTACATCCTATAACCCTAGAAAAAAGAATAAGAGGAGGGCACTTATTGGATTCTGCTTTATAACTCACAACAAAGTCAAGGTTAAAAATGCTTTCTGTTGCTAAAATCTAGAATATCACGCACAGGATTGTGATCCAGAGCAAAGAAGATATGTAAGACGATGGCACTACTGAGTCTTCCCTCGCGACTCTCATCTGTAGAAATGTGACATCAGTCGAACGGGCCAGTTACCCACACTTCTAATGTATTCCATAAATTACAGAGCTGCTATGAATTCAATATTCATGTAAAAATGTAACTAAAATTAACCTTTGTTGAAGAAAAATAATTGCCTATGGTGAAGTCAAAGCAACACTATCATTAAAACCCAGAGCTGCCAGATGAGTCACTGCAAACACGACTCCACTCCTCCGCTCCTCCGCTCTTTCCTCAGAGAGAGCTCAACACTTGCCTCTCTATTGTGTTGTTCAAGAACAAAAATACCAAACAATCACAGCAGGAGGAAGGGAATCTACTGGTGTGGCACGATCAGAACTCTACCCACTAACCGTGCCCTCTGCCCTAACCTTGCCTTTCACTGCTTCACTCCCATTGGGATTTGATACTCTGCTCACTTAGCAGTCATTCAGCCTTAAACTTTCTCAAACTGGTGTAACTGTTTCTTCATCACATGCAAGCATGACATGTATTTGGCCAAAATAATCTCTCTCAACCGATCTGACCTGACCTGAGGGCTCTTTCTAAGGAACCCCCTTCTCTGTCCCATAGACCCTGCTGCTCCTGGGACACCTCAGCATGTCCCTGATGTCTCTAATCAGAGCACAGCTTTCTGCAGAGTACTTCTGATAAGAGACTTGTAAAGAGCAGATGGCAATAAACGGGGCTGGAATTTATATGCTAACAACAGTAAAATAGAGCTTACTTTTACTATATACAAAAATCAATCCCAAGTGAACAGAAATACCTTCATAATCAAGACATAAAATGATTTATTCAGATATGAAGCAACCACAAATTAAAAATTAAGAATGTCTAATTTTCAAGACGGGAGATCAGCGGGAAAGTGGGGAAAGACGAGCAGGTAATGGGGTGTGTCTGTGTGTGAGCAGAACCAAAGCACATATGTGTGTGAGAATGTGTCACAACGAAGCCCATTATTTTGTATAATTAATACATGTCAGTAAAAAAGTTAAAGAAAAATAAATGTCTAACTCTCAAGACACTGTAAAAAGACAATGACAATATAAACACAGAGAAAGGCAATTTGAAGTATACTGCATCGGTACAGAGAATACCAGCAAATAGAAGACAATCCAACAGAAAGATTAGCAGTTCAATGTAAAACACCCAAGTGACCCCAAGCTGCAACGGTGCCCCATTTCATTAAAACTCAGCACAATACACCAGCTTCCCTAGGTTAATAAAAAATGTGTAGGTCTAGTAAGACCAGGAGCTGGCAAAAATACAGAGCAAAACGAACTCACGCACACACTGTTATACAGGAGTATAAAGGCCTGATGACCTACAAAATGAACTCACGCACACACTGTTATACAGGAGTATAAAGGCCTGATGACCTACAAAACGAACTCACGCACACACTGTTATACAGGAGTATAAAGGCCTGATGACCTACAAAATGAACTCACGCACACACTGTAATACAGGAGTATAAAGGCCTGATGACCTACAAAAATGGTAAAGCATTACCTACCAAGACTGAAGCTCCTGGGCACATATCTTGTCCCAAACTGGCCCTTGTGCCTAAGAACTTTCCGGACAGTTCTGTTCACAATAGTAAAGCACTGATATAAACCCTGGGTCCCCAACAATGAGACTGGACAGATTACGAGAGTGAACGCATAGCCAAGACAGAGAGCAATATAAATAAAGAATAACTATAAGCACATGTGTGAATCCTACTAAGATGTTTACAATAAACACACGTATTGGATGACTCCTTTAAAATGGAGCTTAAGAGTGGACAAACCTAAAGCACACGACACACATGGGTACAAATCTAGTATCAAGACTACAGAAGGGAACAATCCCAAACTCAGTCCTTATTACCTTGGTAATGGGGATATGCTGTCAGAGCGAGTTTGCAAGTGCAGATCTGTCCCTACGCTCGCCCTCACTGTCTTATCTTGCAAGCTACCCTTGTCCACCCTGGAGATTCACTTTGTAAATTCAGAACAGTCAGGCCATGAGAATGCAGGCACAGCAGGCATCAAATGAGGGGTGTGTGTGTGTGCACATGTGTGCAGTGGGGTGGGTAATCGGGTGCCAAATTTATGATATCATCTTTTCACTGTCATCCTAAGGATTGCAGAGGATCAATTTGAAGATGGCACAGCCCACTCCCAACATATGAATGTAAAATCAACATCTTGCAGCTCTCATTTCTCCTGGGTTTTGTCTACGGCAGTGTAGACCTTGTGCTGAACACACAAGGTCTCCACTGGGAGCATCTAGTGGTTGTGTCTGCTATCTTCATTACATGTCTTAACATTTGGATGTGTTTTTCCACGTGTAATGGAAAAGCATTAACTTAGAAAACACAGCCAGTAATAAATACGAAGTAGTATTTGCAAATTTGATCATACAATGAAATACCCAGGAAAAGACAAGACCAACCTCTGCCACCTCCTTTTGAAATGTTAACGTCATCTGGGTTCTGCCGTAGACGAAGGGTCCATCTCTAAGAGAGGCATTTTCAAGCCACTTGATGATCAGGGGAGTTGAGACACTGAAAGGCAGATTTCCAATGATGTGTACATTTGGAGGATCTGTTTGGTTGGGGGAGAAGACAATTTGGAATGAGTATATGAACATATTCTGAGTATGATCTTAATAGCTTCATTGACATTTAAGTATGATAATCAAATAAAGGCAAATGAAAAGACACAACTTGGCATTTTTCAGTTCTCTTAAAATGTAATTTTTTCCACAATTAGCTTTGTATTTATAGATGAAAAGGTTCTAGAAGTTCATAAAATGAGGTGTTTTGATGGAAAAGGCGATTTTCCTTAAATACACTGAGTTTAAAGTGACTGTGGGGTTCGCCAGACCATCAGAGACCCAGGAGGGGGGTACAAGATGAGCCTAAAATTTGAATGCTTGAAATACTTAGGAGGGAAATAAAACCAAAGCAATAGGTAATCTAGGCAAATCCTTAGCACGAGAAGATGCCGTAAAAGAAACATCTCAGTATCAAACAAGTGGGCTAGAAATCAAAAACAAAACAAAATGCTACAAACTCCAAACCCTCAAGCCACTGAAAAAGAACAGTTCGTTTCCAAAGGCTGAGGAGAATGGTGGAGCCCAACAACCACGGAGACATGAAGGTGACATATGACACTAAAAGGATGAACCAGAAGGGTGACTGTGGTCCTACTGGGGGCTCTGTGCTAAGAAACCACTGACTAGAAACACGAGTTCCTCTGAAGGAGCCTGACCCTGGAGCGGCTAGATCTGCAAAAGCCCTTCCACTTATCCTCAGAGTTTCTGCTAGCAGTCCACATGCTCTGTATCATCTGCACTTCCAGGACACTGCAGGGTCCTGGTAAACATCTGTCTTGAAGGGGAAGTGCCTTGGCTGGTCAGAATCACTACTATGAAGACAAAGGAAAAAGAGATAAAGGTCTGTGAGTGGCCTGGTTTACATATGAAAAATAGTTACCAATACTTGGTATAGTGTCATAAAAATACAAAGTTTATTTACATAGAAACCACAACTTGAATACTTGAAACAAAGAAATAAGAATTAGGGAAAACTCAACCAGGTATGGTAGTGCATGCCTGTAATGCCAGCACTTGTAGGCTAAAGCAGGAGACTTCTCAAGTTCAAAATCAGCCTGGGCTATATGAGGAGTGACCACCCTTGGCTATAGCATGAGACTCTGTCTTAAAAAAAACAAAACAAAACAAAAACAACCATATTCTGTAAGAATGAGAGGAGTAGGGAAAAATATATAGTAATTCTTATCTAAATAATTAAAATGAGAAGGATTTAATAAAAAAAGAAGAAAGTAGGAAAGCAGAGAAAATTACAATGCACATTATTTAATTCTGTTTAGGTAGTTTTCATATAAATACGTAAAAGGAAGCACTTTATTTGATAGGTGATAGCTGAAGTAAATATCTGTGATATGATCAAAACAAAAACAAACACAGACACACATACCCCTGCCACTTCCACCCACCCACCCGAACAAACCCAAAGGCACTTGCACTTACCTTCGTCCCACTGTCTCCTAATGTGGTCTGGAAAAGCCTTTTCTACCTTGTATGTCAGCACATCTCCATGGACAATCCTCAGTTTCCCCGGTGCTGCATCAGAAAGCATCTAGTTTACAAAAGGTCAATAAAATCAGCTCAGAAACTTCAGGGCAGCAAAAGCATTTAATCTCTGGGAAAAGCAAACACTAGGTGAACCAACAGGACACTGTGCCCAGTGTAACCACTGTGTTTCCGCTTATCACAACAAGGGGAATGTATAGTAGCAGAGACTAGTGTGACAGCTTAGGATTTAAAACATAGCATACCAGTCTATCTTGATAATCAGAATGACTTGTGTTTCTGCACAGTCAGAGTTAACATAACATACGAAGAAACCTTAGAGTGAAATACTGAGATTCAAGAGCAAAGTATATGAAAATGAGTTTGGCCAACTGAGCCTGCATAGCAAATGTACACAGAAGAATCTGCATGTAAACCAAACTGTTAATGGACTCTTCGAGTACATTCAAACTAAGTAGACAGTCCCTTGCTGTGCCAGGCGGCACCTGACAATCTCAGACACTCTGACTCATCCTTGCTTTCCTGAACAGCAGTTACTGTCACTTGAACAGTCCCGCATGCTTCCACACCAGTTACTGCTCAGCTGTTTCTATTTCCAATAGTCTGTTTCCTTTTCTTCTTCAGTCTTTCTTAACACAAAAGACAACAACAAGGACTTGGGACTTAGCTCAGTGATAGAATACTTGTCAGAAATACAATTCTGTGGATTCCACTCCAGACCCACTAAAACAAACTAAAAACAGAACCTTAACGCTCTTAGGCCTTTCCTCCTTAACTTCAGTCCTTAGCATCATATACTAAAAGCCAGCCTTAGCTTAAATGAGCCCAAGGCTGAGCCGAACTGGGTGTGAAGTCCCCCTGCATCCAATACAAAACTTACTTCTTGATATCCTCGGTCAAGTAAAAACCATGCAGCTGAAGACACCTCTGTTTCCACTGTCTCCGACTCTTTTACAGGTCTTTGGGACCCAACTCCCCATACTGGGTCGCCTTGTCCAACCTTAACACATGGGGAGGTGTGTAGTCTTCCTAAAACTTGATACGCCATGCATGGTTGATACTCATGGGAGACCTGCCCTTTCCTAAATAGAAATGGAGGAGTGGCTTGGGGGATGGGAGCAGAGGTGAAATTGGAGGAGGGACTAGGAGGAACGGAGAGAGGGAAAATTGTGGCTGGGTTGTAAAATAAATTTATTAAAAACAAACAACCGTGCAGTCCTGAGCTTACCATGCTGAAAACGCAGGACTGACTGACAGTGAGAAACGTCACTGCTGAGGTAGACTACATGAGAAAGGGTGACCCCTACCACACTCCACACTGCCTCAGTTCACTGCTCGGGGTACCCAGGCTCCAACTCAGTTGCTGAGATTTGAGAAATGGCATAGGGCTTTGTAGGGATGGCCAACAAGTTCATGGAGAATTCTGCCTCTTGGTTCTTCCTCCCTCATGTCCTTTAAGCTCCCCGCCCCAACACTTTCCTTCTGTCCATTTCAAACAACTGCTAGGAAGGTTGAAAGGGGCTCACGGAAGCGAGAGGGAGATTCTTTCCCCTCTGCTTTATCCTGTGTCAGAGAGGAGACCTGAGCCAGGCTATAACACGATGGCTTCCACGTCTGCTCACACTGTGCCACGCCCACAGTTCTTGACAGCACTTGTAACATGCTACGGCAGCAGCACACGTGTAGGTTTCTCTCTCTTGAACAAGTGTGCTGCGTAAGGGAAGATCTGTTTCTTGCCTACTTAATAGAGTCCATAGCGACAGCACTGCACAGCAGGCATAAACACGCCTTTAATAAGCAAAAGAGCGCAGACTACTGCACAGCATCCACGGAGCTGAAGTGACTGTAGATGCGGCTCTCGGAAATCTGTGGGGCAGAGGAATCTGCAGAGATTTACATCAGCAGTAAATGAGGCAAGATTATACAACAGTGTGAAGTGCAGAGGCAGAATGCCTGTTTTAGTAAGAGGGGGCACTTTAAATTTAGGATAGTTAATTTGACATGATTATTTATCAAAAATAATTGCATACCTCTGACATTAATATACTCAGATTATTTTAAGCCATCATGGTTTGATAAAATTTAACTCATCAGTTTCAGATAATATGTTGTAGAAAACAGTTATTTCAAGACACTAAAAACTGAGAGAGTTGTTATGGGATATTTGATAACATTATAAACACAGTGAATTTAATGCTAACATTTACCGATAATGGAGAAGGCTAAGTTTTTTTTCTGCAATTATGCTTCACATAATTAAAACAAAACAAATTAGCATATCAAAAAACAAAGAGGCAGAACTGAAAGCTTCTGTTACACAACGTCAATATATATAAAAAGTAATTAAGTAATTAGTAGTTACAACTAAAGCAAAACAATGTAAACCTGCCTCTCTGTCATTAATTAACATGCTCTGATAACTGTTTGAAATGTTATTTCTCCATACTCTCACATTCACAGCTACACACTAGAGCTGACAGCAATCTACTTCCCTACTACAAAGCTACACACCAGAGCTGACAGCAATCTACTTTCCTACTACAAACCTGCATTTCTAGTCTATTTCTTCCGGACTCCCCTTCAGGTTTAGCACCCAGCCATCACACCCCAAATCCGTCTGTTTCTCCTTGACAACTGTGCAGCTTCAGTTTCGCTCGTCCAACTCCTCATGGTAGAGGGAATGAGCTCATGTATGGGGTGTCTGTGAGGGTGACAAACCACCTGAACTGCCATTATGATTATAGAAAACGCCCCTTTAAACACCTAAAGTGATACTCAGCAACAGCACACAGATTCCCTACCCCATTAGAGAAAATGGAAAAATATTCTCATCAGGTCATGCTATTGTGGGGTGAGAGAAATCACTCTTACGCTTCGAAAACATCCCAAGCATACACTTCAAAACCTGGAGAGGGGTTCAGAGCGCAACCCACTGCTAACAGGTGGGCATCTACACAGCCACTCACAAGCTAGTCTATTATTTTAATGTTGGTTTTCAATATATTCTTCCAAAACGCAATGAGAAATGGCTCTGAGTAAAAGATGTTCACTAAGGCTTAAAAGAGTAGAAAATCAAATCATAAATAAGAGAAGCACACATGTAAAATTGACTGCCGCTAACACTATCAGAAGAACCGCGAGCTTCTGGCTTGCATAATGGCATATACGATTCTTACCCTGTTAGAAGTAATTATACCAAGTCCCCAAGAGAGAAAATGGTTCTTTCCATGTAGATTTTGTAAAAGGTACATGGAACAATGAAATGGCTGTGCCTTTATAAAGGTCAGATAACACAAGCAGAAGCATTTTCCCTCTTATAGCCAGAGCTGTGTGATAGCATTCTGCAGGGAGTGGAACCGTGCTTGAACCAGGTACCTTTTTGGCAACTTAAATTGATGAGAAAAGAACTCATGCAATTCTTGGAACTTAGGCAAAAATTAAAATTTCCTCGAGAACAAAAAGAACTATATCAAATAGCTATTTGGTAGGTTTCCTGCCACCTTCTCACAGTAAGGGGCTCAGAGCAGCCAACACTATATGAGCTAAGCATAATTACCTTCTTCCTAATTTGTCATACAATAGAACCCAAATACCACTGAAACAAATACTAGCAGAAGGGCTAGGCAAAACTCTAAAGCAAACACTAGAATGATGTGGGATTCCCCTCTGTATGCTGCAAATGTGTTTTGTTACCATTGGTTCATAAAGAAGCTGCTTTGGGCCTATGGCAGTGTAGGATAGAGCATGGCGGACTTTCCAAGCAAAGCTAAAGGTAAAAAGAAGGCAGAGTCAGGGAGACTCATGTAGCTCCCTAAGGAGACAGATGCCGGATCCTTACCAGTATGTCATAGCCTCTTGTTGATACATACATTAGCAGAAATGGGTTAATTCAAGATGTAAAAGCTATGCCTGCATTATTGACCGAAGTGTGTTGCAATTAATATAATTTCTGTGTGATTATTTTGGGTCCGGGCAGCTGGAAAACAAATGAGCAGCTTCCTACTACACTGGAAGAATCATATAATATGGGATATGATAAACAGAAAGTTAGAAAGTTAAAAAATGTATTGTTTTGAAGAATGTCAAAATAGATGAAGTCCACTATTATGAAGCAACTTAAGTGGATGCTATAATACCTGCTTTTTAAAGGAGAATATGGCTCCAGAGTTGGCGCTTGCTTCTCAAGCAGGGCAGAAGAAGCGGTAGTAGAAGCTTGTTTGCCCAGCCCCATCACGGACTCAAGGATACATGTGACTAGGTAAATTTCCTTGGCAGTGCTGAACCTTCGTGTGTCAGCAGGTGTGGAAAGGAAAGGCGAAGCTGGAGAAATTTCAGCAGTAAACTGGGGTCAAGGGCTAGCACAGCTCGCATCTGCACGCCAGCCTCTGTCATTTTTCAAACCGGGAGCTTTCTGCCATGCCTATTACAAAAAGCCTGAGACAAGACTAAAATAGTCAATGATTCCCTTTGTGGCTCTAAAATTCTAGTAAGCACAGAACAAATCGGTTGAGAAGAACCCTTGAGCTTCCTACCCTAAAATGGGTAATGAGACACCAGACATATTCTCCTTCCCTAAACCCTAAGTGAAATATGCATACAAAAAGAATTTTCAGGCTTTTGTGTGTACTTTACATATTAAACACTCAGACTGTGCTTATACCATAAAATCAATTTGAATAAATTTGCTATGATGTGCCATACAAGTATAATTTCTGAGCACAATGAAATGAGAATAATAGAAAGCTATATGGAAAAATGCAAATTAAATGATGGATTTCTAAATAGCCCACAAGTCAAATACAAATCAAAAGAAACACAGAGGTTAAAAGGAAAATTTGAATATCTTTTGAAATGTTTAACTTTAGTATCTCAAAAGCGGCTGTGAAACAGAGCACTCAGCGGTCAAGTCTTCATAAACATCAGCTATTATAGTTGTTAATGGGTGGCACAAATGAGAACGAGACAAATTACTTTTAATGGAATTAAAGAAAAAACACATGACACTTCAAAATTTGTGGTTTTCTGACAAAGCAGAAATTTACAGTA